TAAAAGAAACTCAGGGCTTAGGACTTTCCACTTAAGTGCATGTTGTCTATGGAATAATCTAGGTGACACATATGGAAACATAATTTTTATCAAAGAAACCTCTTCACAAGAACATTTCAGATTAGTAGGACTTTTTGATTTTTATGATAAATTCTAATTATTTAGTTGGAAGTGTAATAATTAGTAGGATCAGTATGATTTATGTTTTTGTGTTTTGTTTTTGTTGAGGGCCACTATGTAAACTACCGGGCTATCGGTAATAATGTATTTCACCCTCGATAAATAAAGTATTTGTATTATTGTCACTACAACCCACTACTGAGTGTAGAGAGAATGACATGGTACTTAACATTTACTTGTTTTCTGACATTTTGTATGTAAGTCTGATAAGACAGACTCTGTATGATTGCAAAGGATTTTACTGTACAGTCCATGTCCTAAAAAATTGAGTATTTTTGTCTAACAACTTTGGCCATGCCACGATTATGTCCCAACCATGCCACATATTTTTTTTCCTCTAATCATGACATTGCTCTGTAAAAGAAGTTCAAGTGGTAGGGAAAGGATTCATAACTCCTCCTCTTAGACAGTGCAGTAAATGTGGATGCATCTGACTGATAATGTATGTTACATTTGCAGGATTTTTTCCATAAACCAAACTTGTTGCAAAAGCTATTGAAAATACACCACAGTCAGAACCATTTGCCTGTTGTTGCACTGGAACTCAATGAATTCCTTTAAAGGCTGGTTCAGTCAAATCAAAAGCTATTTCCCTTAACTCTTGAATCACAGGAGATGAGAGACATAGACATCAACCTAACCAGGAGGACTATATATGTAACCAGTACATACCCAGCGATTGTTATTAATATGGACTATTTGAATAAATGGTGCAGTCACAATATTAAATTGCCGAACTGAGCCAAGAGTAGGCCTCTGAAATCCTTATATGAGTTTACTGATTCTCCTCCGTATAATGTGGGCCTCGTGTATAATTACACAGTCTAGCCATCCATTTGGGGAAGCAATTGGGCCATATTCATGATGTCCCAGTTTTCCTTCTGGCTCATGCTTGTCACAAGGAGGCCTGTACATAATGACAGTTTTCAGAGTTGTTACTTCTTCAGTGTCAGAACTGACTGGGTTTAGTGACTGTTTTGTTGGTGTTTGTTGTGACATGTGTGACTGTTTGGTTGTTTTTTGTTGTAACATGTGTGACTGTTGGCCTGGTGTTGGTTGAGATGTGTGTGGTTGTTTGCTTAGTGTGTACTGTGTTATGTGTGACTGTTTGCTTAGAGTGTGATGTGACATGTGTGACTGTTTGATTGGTGTTTGTGGTGACATGTGTGAGGGTTTGACCTAATGTTTCTTGAGGTTTGTGTGATTGTTTGCTTGGTGTGTGTTGAGACATGTGTGAGTTTTGGTTTAGTATTTGCTGAGTGTTGCTTAGAGCCTCTTTTCTTAGATTTCTGGTAAAGCTTTTCATCTGGGGCAATACCAGGTTTTGGGAATAGTGTTGATACCCAAACAAGACAAGTGAAATTGCTGAATAGCACAACTCGGATTACAACACTTGACAGTATCCTCATCAGTTTCTTGTCTGCAATAGCACAATGCATCAGCCAGTGGAGCCCCATTCTCTGCAAGACTCTCTCTTCTTGTGTACCATCGAGCAAGTACTTCAGGCACAACACAAATTCTCCAAAATTTTTGTGGCCTGGGTACAACTTTACTTCAGTGGTCTGTATCTGGAAGAATTCTTTGTGATAGTAGCTTAAGTTCATTTGAGGAAACAGCACAAACAACAAAGTAACAGTAGTTCAACTTAGTTGAAAACAGTTGTTGCTGAGCCTGCTAATAATATTCGTGTGTGCTGGGCAGTATGAATTCCCCAGCACTGTTCTTTTTTAAACAAGAGGAGGGCTTTAAAACATAAGAATTAAAATCACTGTTTTCTAAACAGAGGGGACATCTAATCTCTCCACAACCTTTCCCACGGCAACCACATGAGCATACAAAATCTGAGGTAGCACGCAACCAAGGATACTCTTGACTAACAAAGAGACCACATTTGACTTTGGAACTCTGTGTTAATAGATAGCAGTCAGTTTTGTAAGTGCGCTAGTATTCTTCGTAAGCATTAAAAATCGAATTATCAAGTCTTTAGAACATAACTAAGGAAAGGTATCAGAAAGACTTACACAAGCCCCTCGACATCACATGAAACTCCAAAAAGTACTCTAACTCCACAGTTTGGCCACAGTTTAAAGTATCTTACTGACTGCTTCATTTTAACAAACACCCGAAAAGAGGGCTGTCTGACAAAATCTACACATTCCCAGCAGCTTTACCCACTTAGATCCAAAACAGAAGCTGGTAAAGAGAACTGGGTGGATCTTCATAAAGACAGACTATTCATAGGCTATTCATAGATAAAGCCCATGTGGCTCTCGGCAAAACTTGATCATTCCAATACCACCCAAAAGAGTCTTCGGTAGAGTTGCTCTTACTAGGAACAGTCGTGACGAAGCCGACCACGAAATTTACACAATCATCATGGCGGGAAGAAGCAAAATTTTTAGTTCGCCTATACTTTGGTTTCTTTTTGGCTTTTCTCTGTACATATTGGCATGTTTAAGTGGCAAAGATGCACACATCGGACTAGATATGCGCCTCGTCAAAGTAAACAAGCAAAGCTGGGATAATCATTGGTTTTTGAAACCGATATCTTCCATTTTGTTTCGACTCAATATCCGCCATATTGGATTCGTGTGGAAAGCTCGAGTCAGATTCAGGAATTCGAGAGTCAACTACTACAGCAACTCCGATGCAAGCTTCAACTTTGAATATTTACAACTATGTGGCGACATATGTCCTAACCCGGGCCTGCTTCCCCTGTTTGATGCACTTCACGTGGTGAGAGACAATGGAAAGCAAGGAGTATCCATCGGTCACTTTCGAACGTGCGAGGCCTCCGTAAGAACCTCCCGAAGTGAAAATACTTTTACAGCATACCAACCTGGATATCCTAACCATTTCTGAAACGCATCTGACACAAGATATAAGCGATAACGAAGTAAACATCGATGGATACCGAATTCTGAGAAGAGATAGGTCACACAAAGTAGGAGGCGGAGTCGCTATTTACTTCAACATTAGCCTAGATTGTGTACGATATATCCAAATATGACAACGACGGCATTGAAGCTCTCTGGATTGAATTGAAAGCTCACTCAAAAGATTACTTGTGGGTTGTGTATATAGACCTCCTGACGTTACATCTTTCTTTGATGAATTCAACCAAGTATTGAGTACAATTTGGATGTCTCGCAGGAATGTTGTGATCGCTGGTGACTTCAATTCAGATCAGCTTGCTACTAATGGAAATGGTGCGAAATTCAAACGCATCTTACAATCTTATAACTTTTGTAACATCATAAAAGCACCCACAAGAACCTCAGCACATTCTAACACTTTGATCGATCTGATTTTGACTATCAATACCTCAAAGGTCTCAAAGTCTGATGTGATTGAGTATTGCATAGCTGATCACAAATTCATCTACGTTATCTACAAGCTGAAGATCAGGAATCCAAAGCCTTTTATTAAATATGTCCACAACTTCAAGAACGTGTTGGAAAACCCGAAAGACTTCAAACATGACCTGGAAAGTGCTCCCTGGTGGGTCTGTTCCACCTTTGAGGACTTGGATGACATCACTTGGGCTTGGAATTGCATGTATAATATTATTGCAAGCAGTCACATTCCCTTACGTAAAGCCAAGGTTAGAAAAATTCACTACCTTGGATGAACAGTGAGATCCGGAAAGAGATGAATAAGAGATATAAACTTCTGAAAGCCTGTGATGGCACACCCGCTACTAATAAACTCTGGGTTGATTACAAATCCTCTAGGAACAAAGTATCTAAGATGCTACGACGTGCTGAAGCTCAATATTGGAAAAAAAGAAATTTACAGAGACCAAGGACTCAAAATCTTTCTGGAAAACTGTGAACGAGGCCACTGGAAAACCTAAGAATAAACATATTGGCCCCTCAGAGATGCTGAAAATAAGGAAATCACAAATGACTACGAGAAAGCTGAACTGATTAACTCTTACTTCATAAATATTGGCAAGGAACTAGCTGAAAAATTCCCCGAAGTTGATGATCCCCATCAATTCATGTACAGAGTTACCCCCACTGTGCAGGTCTTGGAGGTCAACATCAACAAACTCAAAACTGATATCAAGACAATTAAAATTAACAAAGCATCTGGTCCTGATGGCATCTCTTCTCGTAGCTTAGCTATTGCAGGAACATCCGAAGGGCATTGTAACTGTTTTCAAGAGCAGCATGGCTCAGTCCAGCTTCCCTAAATGGAAGATTGCAAAAGTTAATGCAATCTTTAAAAAGGAAACCCAGCAGATGTTTCAAATTATAGGCCAAATCACTTTTAAATATCCCCAGCAAGCTGCTGAAAGCCAGATCTGCAACATAATTGATACCCATCTGAACAACTGTGGCATAAAAAGCTGTAAACAGTGGGGGTTTAGCAAGGGACTATCGACTGAAGGAATGCTTACCTCTATGACTGAAGGATGGAAGACAAATTGACAATGGTCTGACAGTTGGAGCAGTCTTTATTGACTTCAAAACTTTTGACACTGTCCCCATTATATTTTATCGATAAACTAATTTGGAATATCAGGATCTCTTCATGAATGGCTAATGAGCTATCTTACTGATAGATGTCAATTTGCTGAAGGCAGGTCGGTCACTTCTATGTAGGAGTCCCTCAAGGCTCGCTTCTTGGCCCGCTCTCTACACCATATGTTAATGATCTCCTGACCACATCGACTGGAGATCTATACATGTATGCAGATGACACTACAGTTTACTGTATTGGACCAAATGTTGACCAGGTTATGTTGTCACTAAATAAATCATTGGAGCAAGTTCTCCTGTGGAGCATTAAGAATCAGCTAACCACTTAGATCCAAAACAGAAGCTGGTAAAGAGAACTGGGTGGATCTTCATAAAGACAGACTCACAAAGAAAACTCTTCAAGCTAAGTACTGGCCTGACAAGAAAGGGAAACAAAAGATAGAAAGCAGCAAGAAGGTGAAATTCAAACTGGTTTTACTTGTAATATCTTTAAGCCAAGGAACAAATTGAAACCACAACATGTAATAGGCCCAAAGAAAGTGGATACCTCTCCCTAAAGGCCTAGATGAGTTGTTTCTTATTACCTCATGCCATGTATCAGCCAAGTTGTAGGTAGTTCTTTGATCTCAGTGATCTTAAGACAATTATAACCTTCGAAATTATACTTGTGATAGTCAGTTTTATTTTTCACTTCTTTGCTTGGCCCAGTAATGTGATTACACTTCTAGTTTCAAAGTTCTTACAATGAATTTCAATATCTCATTTCTTTTTAAACACTGTCACAGAGTAACAGCAGTGTGTTCATTAAGCTTAGTGAATTCTTCTTCTAAATACCAGAATAATCCCAATTCTCAAAATTAACTTTCGTAGCCTTAGCTTTGCCATTTCAGATTATATTACTGTTACTCTACTCTTTTACTATACAATTGTCTTTAATGAACAAACTGAATGCAGTCTTAGAACTGAGAAATAATCCAAAAAATACAGTAAAATAAGCAAGCTAATGAAATAATCTTTAGGTCAACAGCTCCAGCATCATAAAGGTTTTGCAAAATGCAGTCAATCTTTGTACGATTGCTTTCCAAAAGGCACCATCAAACTCCACCTCAGTCACTAAGATTCCCTTATTTGTGCATATCGACACATTCTCAGGGCTCTCTCGCCAATAAAAAATAGCCTTATATACAAAAAGCCATTTACAAAGAATCATTATCTGGGCATAGAGAGATTATGACATTATTAAAAACAAAGACATAAAGGTCGTGTTGAAAATGGCTATATGAATCTCTCACATGTACAGTGTATTTGGAAGTGTCAAAAGTTACTTCACTAAACATCATAAATCATTACAAAAGTTTAATTGATTGTCTCATGGAGCAGTAAGAAATTAAGAATACTCCATTTTAGAAAACACATTAAAAAAAATATTCCAATCTTTAGAGCAACATGACTTTAAGAAACATTTTGCAATATTTGAGCAATTAAAAAACGCAATTTTTGTTTAAAACGTGTCCATTTTTATTTCATATTCAATTTCACCTCTAAAGGCTTTTGTTTAATCGCTCCAAATGCCTTCTTGTAAATAATTTGCCAGGAAATAGTGATAAAGTGCAATTTCTAAGGCACTGTTGTTCTGTTGCCATGGAAATAAATTTTATAATGCATCTTTTAGAACCTGGAAGTGTAATTTTACTCAAGCCAAAGCAAGCTGTTTGTATCTTGAGTAACCTATTAGGAGACTGGGGGCCAACATTAACTTTAAGCCCCGTTCTGATGTGTTTCAGTCAACAGCCATTACTTTCGATCATTTAGTTAGGAATCTTCACAAGTGAGAGAGGTTCAATCACCAAAATGCTGAAATTTTTGTCTCAGAGATTCAAGAAGCCACAATTTTATGGGAATCGCTTAACAGAGAGCCAAAGAATTTACAAAGAAGAGTTGATTGCTGTCGAAAGTACTTCGAGTGGGATATTTGAATCCTCAGACAACATTCCATATGATCAGAGCAAAGCTAAGGAATATACTGCTTCATATCAAAAGCTTCAATCAACTTCCAAAGAAAACAAACCCAAACGTAAGCTAATGAAGGTAGATACCGAGGAAACCAGACCATCCATTAGAGGGTTCAGGTTCTGTAATGTGAAGGTGCTATCGCCCATTTTTTCTGTGTTACCTTGTGGCAAATGCGGTAATTTCAGTCTTCTGTTAAAGGAAGATAATGAAACAGAAGGGATGTGAATCAACTTTGCATTTGCTGTGCAAGCAGTGTGGATGGAAACATTCATTTTGCATATCAAAGAAGCAAGGAAAGAGTTTTGAAGTAAATTAGCAATTTGTTTATGGCATGAGAACTCTTGAAAAGGGTTGTGCTGGTGCAAGGAAATTCTGCACAATTGAGGACATGCCTCCACCTCTAACTGAGAAAGCTTTCCTCAGCTACTTGAGCATAATCGGCTGTCACATGAAAGTGACTGGAAAGGAAACAATGAAAAAGGCGGGATAAGAAGTCTAATCTCTCAAGAAGGATAGAAACTCTTCATGTGGCTAAAATGTAATTTAGGCAAAGTTAAATTGCAAACCAATGCAGTGGCGGTCTCCTCCTCAAGCGTACGTGATCTGTGGGGTGACCACGAGGGCCTTTCGCTTATCTTATGACTTACATTGCATGCCACGCTAGTATTTTTGAGCTATCTTTCCAGATCTATTGCTTAAACGAATCTTTGAAGATTCTGGCTTTTAATTGCAAGATACATCTATTGTATCAGCAAAAACAGGTGTGCCAAAAAGGCACTATCAGATAATGTGATGTAATAGAACAACTGAAGTTAGAGAACCTCCATAATTTCTATAACTGCAAAGATAAAAGCTGTAGAGAGTTTTCTGAAGGGGAAAAGGCCAGACAGAAGTTATTAAAGAAGACGAGGATGCATCACAAATGGTTAAAAGGGAAAGATCTTGTGTACTGCAAAACCATAGGGATTTGGTGGTTGTTGTTCTCAGAAAACTATCCTGGTTGGCAGCTTAACCTCATTGCAAGTGCCCTTCAAAGAGTTCCAAGACAGTACCACCACCTTTGGCTAGTTCAGGATCAACAGAATGGAATAACTGGATGTCATCACCAGTTGCCTATACACTGACATCAAGTACAATTACCACAGGAACACCCTCACTTGCAGACGAAGAAGTAGAGGAAACCTCCAAAGCCTTAGAGCTGCCAGATTTAGATGCTGAAGATTCTGATTATGGCTCTGACTTCGAGTTTTCATAAATGACAAAAAGTGTTGACAGTTTCACTCTTTATCAGTTTGTAAGTTAAAGTTAACTAGCAACTGTAAGATTAGGAGGCTCTGAGAACAACAGCAGTGTTTTGATATAGCTATGGCTGTGTAGTGAAATAAACAAATTCTCCCAGAGTACCATTCTATTTTACTCTAATTAGATTAAATATGTGTCTTTGCAAGAAGATTTATTTTCCAGATTGCAGGAAAATGCACTTCTGGGAGACTTTGAGTTTTAATAAAATTCCCAGAGGAGCATGCCCCTGTACCCTGCTTACTCACAAGGCAGTATCCTTCTACTTCAAAAGTTAATGAAAACCCTGCCAGTAGTGCAAGTTGATGCAAGTATCAAAAGGACAAAGGCAACCATACAAATCCCTTTAAGTATGGACCTGGCCTTCCTTTAGCTGTTAATGTCAAGCTAAAGCTAAACATACCCAACTTAGTGAGAACAACTTGCTGCAGAAGTGCTTGCATGGCAAGATGTAAAATCAAAATGAGTCTTTGAATGGGATGGTGTGTCAAAGGATTCCAAAGAAATTTACATTGAGAGGAAGATGGAATTAGAACTGCATAATGCTATTTCTAATTTTGACATTGGTGCAGTTACTATTATTAGGCTTTTCCAAGCCCTTGGTATTCCTTCTAGTAAATATACCCAAGAAGCTTGCAGACTTCAAGATCAGCATAGAGTTGATATTGTGCAACTTACAAGCAAATCAAGTACCAGAAGGAGATGCCAAGTGATCAGGGCCCTTAAAAAGGAAAAAGATGATCAAAATAAGCAAACTGAAGGTTTCAACTACGGCCCTGGTCAGTTTTGAACAGTTCAATTCTTGGAAACTATTTTAAAGTCTTGAAAAAAATCAGTTTAGAAACTTTCAACCAGTTTTCTATCAATTTGCAATTTTACAAAACTACCAACATGCTAGCAAAGATAACTTTCCAGGGTTTTATTCCATTCTTCTCATTTTTAGAGAGAGAGATTTTGGTATATTTTTGCATTCAATGAACTAGAAACATACACCTTAATGAACCTTTTTGTTGTTAAATAACAAAAATGAGATTGCTAATCTCATCCATTTCTGAAAGTTATTGTGTGTTCTCTGAGATTTTCCAGTCTATTTGACTGAGAGGTGTTTCTATAGTTTATTACATGCAGGTACATGTGAAGATTATAGTCTTTAAATTTTGTGAACTTTTAATGTAATGTTAGAGATATAACTGTTCTTGTTTGGATGCCCATCAGAGGGCATCATTTGCCCAGTCTTGGTGGCAATAGTAAAATATCAAGTCAAAAACTGCAAAAATATAGTTGCCTCCAAGTGTTACTTCAGGTGACATCAATAACCTTTTTTAAAACAACATGAAGAAATGTTGATTTTTTTGAAGGTTATACCACTTATTTTATGACCATCTAATAATTTTCCCTTTCAAAATTTTTTGGCCTCAAATGTAACGAATAAATCATGATTGTATTATCATCAACTGCAGCAGTAACATTAAATATCACCCGAGTTGGAAAAAGAGCAATGACCATTACTCCCCCTTGAGGCCTAGATCTGTGAAGACATTTTTTACCACTGGCAACCACAATGCTATCAGAGCAGCTGCCAGATGCCTTCATTCTGGGGAGAGGTGGCCTCTCCCATAAGCCCTATGGTTTCTTGAGGGTCTCCTCTCCTTTAAATTATGCTGTACACTGCCAGGGGTCCATTACTTGGAGTGTTTCACTCTCGTGGTGAGCAGAATTTTCACAGAACAGTTTATGTTTAGCCTATCTTTTCTCAAAAATAGGCTACTCGAGTTCACTAAGGTAATACAATCCATGGAACCCAAAGATAAAGATTTACACAAAACCACAAAAATTCCATCTTTCTTTTTCTGTATTCCAGTCTTTCAGTCTTCCATTCCTCCTTTCTTTACCTTACCTATCCCACTATCTTTTGCAACTTTTTCACCCTTTCAGCTTGCAGAGTTAAAGCAAAAAATTAGCAGGGGAGGGGAAAATCGCTATATTTTTTTTTAAATTTTGTGTGTATCAAAGGTTGTCCATCTTCTGATTCTGTCCCTTGTGAAGAGATTTTATGAAAAGAGTTTTAAAACAATGAAGAGGTGCAATCCAAGCAATGGTAGAGAATGTGGAAACACGACATTGCGTGAGCAAGTCATCTTCATCTCAACAATCTTCATTCACACTGTCCATAAAGGAAATTTGCAATGCAGGATTGAACAGAAGCAGTCCCAACAGAATAAAGAGCTTGTTTCTGGATCGCAAGATAATACTACCCTTTCGAATTGGGCTTTGATGTTGTCAAATCTTCATAATTTTTGTGAGGTGCAGTCAAAGGAGAGTGCTTCATTGCTGCATTGGGCAGAATTCATGGTGCCTTCTATCACTTTGATTATTGAACTGTCAAAAAAATTCAGTTTTCCTTACTAGGCTGATAATTTATGCGGAAGGTCGGTGGCAGCTGAACAGCCCAGTTTTGGAACATCAGAAAATAGCAGATGGATGATTGAGCTGTCTGGTTGACTCCACAGAACCAGTGAATTTAACCCAGAAATGGTTTTCAGGAACAAGAATTGCAGAAAGACCAAGGTGACATTCCCAAAAACACGCGCACTTTAAATGGCATGTCCCTGACAGAAATTACTGCAAGTCAGATTTAAACCAAAAGCACAGAATGTGCAAGGATTGTCTTGTCTGTGAACAATATGTGGAAAAAGCACTCAACAATAAACAATCCTTGGATGCCACGAAACAAGAGCAGCAAACCTCCAGTAACAATAAACCAATCCAATATTTGTAGCCCAAAAGCAAGTCCCTTCGTCTTATCATAAGTCGCCAATTTTGATTGCATATAACCAAGAAGGTGAGAAAATTGTATACACAGAAAAGAATTCCAAATGGCCAAGGTGGGGAAATTTTATAAATGGAATAGAATTTAACTGCCTCAAGAACAGCTTTACCAACTCAAAGAGGCCACTGAAAAATCCAATGAAGAGCTTTGTAGGATTTTTAAAGAATGGAACCAGGAAAAAGATAGAAAAGAAAAAAAAGCTGGAAACTTCATGAAAGACAAATGGGAGAATGATGGAAGGAAGGAGTTTACTGAAGATCAGAGGAAGAATGGTGAGCTTTGTTATAACTGGAGCCCATCACTCCTGACTGAATGCAATTTTTAAGGCATGTCAGCCTATATATGTATAAACATGCAAATATCCTGTGCATGGATACTTCAAAGCCTCTTGCTTAAAATGAAGTCTTATGCCAATTTTGAATTCTTCAGTGAAGCCTCACTCCAGTCAACAATAATTTCCACTAACAAACTGTCTTTTTTTTTTTCAATTTTGATAGTGAATGGAAAGAATGGCGATCACTGGTTTTCAGTTACTGTTTGTGTTGGTAGGTAAAATTTTTAGACCAAACAAAAGAGATGGCAGTAATAGTCTCTTAGTATGCATTACAGCCCTTCAACTAAGACAATTGTTGGTAGTAAGGAAGATGAAAACTAAGGACTTCTGTGAGTTTGATAAAGTTTCAATATAGAAGGTTATATTTGTACTTGTGACACTGATATAGTCTCAATTAGATGCCTTTTCTTTTACCAAATTTCTGTTAGTTGCATCATTTAGGGTTAGATTCAAAGTTTCTTGGTATTTATTATTCAATAACTGTGAACATGCCATCTGTTCCAGTTCAATTACTCAAAAGAAAGTTCATGTATCAAATGTTATAAATGTACTTGTGACACTGATGTAGTCCTAATTAAATCAGATTCCTTTTTTTACCAAATTTCTGTTGGTTGCATCAGTTAGGGTTAGATTCAAAGTTTCTTGGTATTTATTATTTAATAACTGTGGACATGCCATCTATTTCAGTTCAAATACTCAAAATACAATAAAAATTATTCTCTTTGTCCAATCATTGAGCACCTCTTGCTGTGTACAACAGAAGCCCATCAGAATATGAAGCTTTACATGGCTTGAGGATTTTACAGCTGCCAAATTCCAAAAGCCTGAGGCAGGCAATCAAAGATGACTCAGTAAATCCTAGTATTGATGAAGAGTACCTCCTTGGCCAATACAAAATCTATGCCAACTTCCAAAAGAACAGAGAAGAAGAAGGACACCACAAATCATTAGCACTTCAAGTCTTGATGTGGAATGAAGTCAAGGTGAACACGTAATTGGAAATTAGTACAACATCTTGAAGTTAAGAGTAAGTAAATGTTTATCTGTGAAAGTATAACTTTAACCACAGTGTGTTACATCAATATATTAGAGATCCTTAGTGGAATGATGGACTCCTGACACAAGATAATAACTCCACTAATAATGACTTATTTAGTTGCTTATGAGCATTATTCTCTTAAAAATTAGAACCTTCAGAAATAAGGTACATGACTCTTATGAGTAATTTAAAATTTCTATTTGTTATAATATAGATCCAAATGAAAGTTACACAGAACCTGAAAGGAGCTAGCATGACTGGCCTCAGTGCACCTGAAGATGAGTTAAAGGTGCCCCATGATGTATTCAGTGCAACAGTCCAGCCTGGTGCACAAAAAGCTTCATTTATAGTTCAATTTCTTTGGTAAGACCTAACATCAGGCTGTGATGTGATTGGACCTCACTTTGCTATAGGAAGCTCAATGAATTCCAATGTCCTGCAAAAATTTTGTAATGCTTACACTGAAAGTATTAACAAGTTACAGTTTGAAAGTCTCATTACTTCTGTGTGATGAAGCATCATCAAACCTTACCCTGCTGAAGCTTCTTTCTGACACCCCAGAACACAGTTTCCGTCAATACCTTACGCTGAAACACTTAGGGAATGTTATTTTGTTGATGTGTCACTAATCTTGAGGACCCACCCGGCAACCCTATTTTCCCACCAGGTAATGTTTTGATAATCCAAGTTAATTTAGTGATGAGTTCATGAATAATCTGGTATTGATGTATGTTAGGTACAAAATGTATTTTATATGTTTACCACAGATTTATTTCATTTTTGTTTGAATATTTCTAATGCACACCATTAATTTTTCTCTTTTGAAATTATATTTTTAATTTGTTAAAATTTTGTTTAGACAGCCTAAGAACATGATAGCTGCCCTCTGTGGCTCCAGGCAACTGGGTACAAAGGAGCTCACATAAAGCAACCACCAATTTGGTTGGAAATCAATTGAGGAGATATTTGCACAAGAAATAGAACATGCAGTAAATGGGCTCAGTCAAAAGGTGCCAGGACTGAAACATGGTTTTGTTTATCAGGACAACTGGACCAGTCTGAATGGGTGGCCAGCCAAAATAATGCAGTATCACATTGCCCTTCTGATGGTATTATGAAAATGTATAGCCACATTACAGGTTTGCACTCACTAACAGTGCTTCATTATTTGCCACAACACTGAATTATCTTTTAAAAAACCAGCGTCTTCTCTCTTTCTTTTTAGCAACAATTTATGATTGCTGCTATTGAAGACCTTGCCAGAGAGCCCAACCATTTTGTTGGAAATTAACTACAGGTTAATTGTGATTGGTATATGGGCTTCAGTGGGGAATCCCATCCCATCTCGTCTGTGAAAACACCGTGGCATGAATACAGGGTAGCTGAACACTCCAAGTAATAGGCTCCACACTCTGTAAATTTATTTATCGTTATTGTTAAAAAAAAAGGCAAATTAATGATGATGATGACACAATTTTTCTTAAAGGCAACCCAAGTGTAAGAGCTGAAAGGGGACAGGTCCAACCTCCAATTCCTCTTTTCCTTTGAATAACCAAGAGAGGAGATGGGAGGTCTCTGCCAACACCAGTAACTAAAGAGGGGATCTGAGAACCAAGAGTAAGTTTTAAAGGCCAAATAAAATCCAAATTTTTAAGCATCCATTCCATTGAGTGTTGCACCCATTAGCACTGAAATAGACTTGTTTTCTATTGTTAGGACAAGATTCAGAGCAGTGCTTTCTCACTGAGAATTGGTATACTTTGATTTCCTTTGGGTGGAAAATTCGGAGAAATATCCTGTTATTTAGTTACTTCCCATGCATTTTCTTTTCCTTACAATTCCAATTTCAGCATACATGTAATTCATTTATCATTGGATTGCAGGAGATTAATACAATTGATTTTTCTTTGAACAACAAAAGCTTGCTTAATAAAAACAAAATAATGTAAGTAGCTCACTGTACTAATATATCCTTCCTCCTCATGAATATTAATTCAAGTGCAAAACCCTTACATCTAGAAATCAATTTTAATTTGCATTGTCTGCTCAGTTTGCTTTGATAACCTGTAGTAAACAACTGTAATATCATTCATAAATACTGTATATACAACGGAAATTATGCTTAAATATCTTATTATGTCTTTCATATAGAGTTTACACATTTTAATCCTTTTATAGAGAGCCCCATGGTCAACAGTTTTATTGCAGGCATTTGCTACCCTCTTAAAATTAATAGCATTGTTTTTCTTCTGATTTGCATTGTATCTCAGTTCATATTTTCATAAATAATTTTGAGTAAATTAGTTGTAAGATGAATTTACCAAGGTTTATTATTGGTTTATATTAGTGCATCTATCAAGTTCAACATTCTATATGCTTTTTAACATGTACTATATCTGCATTATTTCACAGTGGACTTTTTCCTCACAGGAAAAATACCAGACATCCTTAGATCATATTTTCTTCCCAAAATTCAATTTGAAATTATAAGTATCATTCTTGGTATATTCACAGTGTAATTTCTTAGTTATTGAATCACTTTTCTGTATTGACATATATTTGTGATATATCAATGCTTTGAGTATTATTTTATCTCTAGTGTAACCATGTTCCTTATAGAAAACTCCTTCAAAAGTCACTGAAAATCAAGACATCCATTCAACATAAGACCTCAGAGAAATTATGAAGACACTGACAATGAAAGATTGCTTGCTGATACATGGGAAGAGGCAAGCTCTCATTCTATATTCAGTGTATTCTGAAAGCTGTGAATTCATCCCAGTGCTGAGGAATGCCCAGATGACTCTGATGTAAAGGCAGAAAATAGGATGGAAATGATAAATTAAGTAAGCAACAGTGAAGGTGTCTCTTTTTCTGATGTTGAGGACTGGTTCATTGTTGATGATCAAGATTTGAGAATATGCATTAATTTTTGAATTATACAAGCATTAATGAAATGATATGCTCTTTTTAGTTATTCAGGTTAATTTTTTGCTCATTTATATTTATAATTACTATTATTATTTACAGTAGTCCAGATGATTGAGGCTCAACTGTATTAATGTTGCTCTTTTTTAACTACTGATATGGTTGACCGTGAAATTCTTTTGCAAAAGCTGAATGCCTATGGTTTAACTCCAGTTGCAAGTAAATGGTTTAGTTCATACTTGACTGATAGACATCAATTTATTGCTATTGATAATGTGACATCTGACTCTACTCTTGTGAGGCATGGTGTTCCACAGGGTAGTATCCTTGGCCCTTTACTTTTTGTCATTTATATCAATGATTTGCCTCTACATGTTAATGGTGCTGACCTGGATCTCTATGCTGATGACACCACACTGACATTATCGGCAGATATCTCAGCGGTTGATTCTCTACAAGATTCACTAGCTGCTTCTTTGAAGGAAATTGAATGCTGGACGCACACCAATAAACTTCCTCTCAATGAAAAAAGACTAAAACACTACTGGTCACAGGCAAACGCCTTTGGGAAGAAACTACCAGATGGTTATAATTTATCTCTTAAAACTATGAATGGTGTATCATTGGAACAAGTACCCTCAGCTAAACTTCTTGGTATAGACATTGACCACGATTTATCAATGAACACTTATGTTGACAGACTGTGTAAAAAAAATTTCACAAAGAATTGGAATTTTGAATAAGATCAAACTTTGTTTACCATTTAACCAAAGACTTTTATTTTATAATAGTTTAATTAAGCCATTATTTGATTATGCCAATGTTGCATGGCAGTCACTTTGCTCTAATGAATCTCTTTTAAGAATACTTAGGCTACAAAAGAGAGCTGCTAGGGTTTTATTAGATGCTGAACCACGTAGTTCATCAGTTATGCTATTCAATCGTTTAAAGTGGATACCATTTTATGACTCTACTAAGATGGCTAAATGTTCAATACTATTTAAAAGGATTAATTATTGTGTACCTAATTATCTTAATGATAGCTTAAGATTATTAAGTTCAGTACATTCACGCAACACTAGATTTTGTAAATACAACTTTTTATTACCTAAGTTTAAAAGGGCTAGAGAAGGAGGGAAAACTTTTCTAGTTTCTGCCATAAAATTATGGAATCAGTTAAAGCCTGAATTAAAAAAGTCTAATACACTTAAGGCTTTTAAAGACAACGTATTTAAATATTACTATAAGGACCAATCATGCTTAGCTCATTTTAATCCGTAAATTTTATTGATAGTAGTTTTATATATTCTTACTTGTTTTAGCTAATTTTCTATTTATATTTCATTCTATTAATGATTCTATTGTATTTATATATTTATTGTAATTAGGAGGACCACAAGTTTATTAGTGTTTGTGCACTATCACGTGCTATCCTCAATAAATAAAGTCTTCTTCTTCTTCTTCCTACTACAGAGAATCCCTGAATACATTTTGAAACTTGGCAGGACCATCATTTGATATTTTAAGAACATCCTCAAACTCGATAACCCCAAGAAAATATGTCCTACCTTGAATCCAATAAAATATCATATATCTGTATGCACTGTCAGTTCTTACATGTACTTTGTGCTTAGTGAGTGACCTCATCTCACATAGCAAGGGATATCATGGGTTTAAGCTCCACTATGCAACAATGCAATTCATATTGTGGTTTTAGGATGCCATTCAAAGCAGACCTGGTGGCACTATGTGCACAACATGCTTGTTAAGAAAAACATCACCTGGAGGGAAGCAAAGAGAATGGCCAAAAATGGAGTCTGGTGGAGGTCTATGGATGATACCCGGGGCTTCTTGGCAGGAGCAAGGATAGTCTAATCAGTCAATCTTGTGCCTCAGACCAATGGCAGGAAAGAATGTGCCACACTAATTTTGCAGACTACAATATAACAAATGCTGTAAAACATGACACCCTAAGACATGAGAAACCAAAAGAAATTAAGTAGAAAACTGTAGCACTATGCAGTGCCTCACAACCTTCAGGGTTCCACCTGTATCTGGTTTCAAACAAATTTTTATGAAAATATATTCAAATTAAAATAAACCAGTATTTTGATTAAAAGTGTGTTGCAGGCCAAGCATACTTCACTGCTCAACAAACCAGACCTTTGTAAACAATGAGGTTCTCATCTTATCACCCAATTCTATCAGTCATACCAGAGCCCTCCTACTTTCTTGCTTTAGAACTTTCCATTTCTACCAAATTAATTCACTCAAACCACCTGAAATGGTACATTTAACCTCTTCACAGCTAGATGTAAAATCCATTTGGAATGTTTTGGTTAGTTTAAGTCCGCAACAATACTAAACATTGGAACTTTTAAGATAAAAATACCACACAACAGCCTATAATAAGATCAATTGTGACAAAAAAAATTGACA